GTCCGCCGCGTGCCCCAGCCAGAGACACGTGAAGGACTTTGAGTCAGGCCGATGTTCATGTCCGGGACAGACCAGCCAACCACGGGGAATATAGCGGATGGGACGTGCTCACGGATTCTGTTCGCGCGACAAAGTGTGTGTTGCTGCGCCGCGGACGGCCGAGGAACCATGATTTGACGTTTCCTGTGTGCAAATCCAACAGTGGTGGCCTGTTCTCCGAAATGACATGTTTCCGTCTGACCCATCAAGGGGTAGTGATACCACCCCCCAGTGATGGGTGTCCCTACTTTATTCAGATAGCAGGGAAGATGGAACCGAAGAATACACGCCTAGAAGCTGGCAAAGGATCACGAATCGACAGGGTGTCGTTCAACCAATCGTGTGTATCCTAGGGATGCCCGTCAGCCACGGGCGTGGCACTGTGGCGGTGATAGCGCTTGCAATGATGTATGCATGTATACTCTATCCCATAGTTCGGCGGACTTAACCTGAGGTTTTTTACTTGGTTTTTACATGACGCGGAGGTTTTCCATTGCAGGTTGATTGCAGGCTCGCCGAAGGCATGGTCGTGCGTCAGGGGCAAGGTCATGTGAAGCTAGCTCGATTCGTTCACATCGCAACGGTGAAAAAAGAAGATTAGAAGCAGATAGAGACGCCGTTCCAATGGACGAAACATGAAAGTGGCACCATGACCCCCAAAGGCTCGGAGGTCCTAGGATAGGGCATCATAGGCCTCATGCAGGGTCTAGAATTTAAATGTGAGGATATGGGCTAGGCCAGTCAAATGCACGCCATAGAGCTAGCTGGCTAGCGTAGTTTTTGAGGTCGATGGATTGGTCCCATTGTATTTGTTGCGGAAACTACCTGTGTTCAGTGTCGGCGTCGGCGGGCAAGACTTCTCAGCCTAGGCGCGCTCGGGAGCGCCCGGGACCTGCTCGGCCCGCATAACTACGTAAGCGGCCATCATTTACTACGTAATTAAATTATCAATTCCTTTTCTTACATACTTATTAAGTATGTGGCAGCGTGGGCGCGGCAATCCGACGCGGTGCGATATTGCGACTAGGCTTCGTCTCACCAGTGGTACCTAACAGCTGGCCTCAAGCCGAATCAAGGCAAGCTCGCAGACACTACTGGTCTTACCACTCTGGCTGCGCCAGCCTAGTGTGAAAGTTCAATGGAGCCTACCAGCGAGTGCACTTGCCACGCCTCCAGCCCCAGAGAGCCATTCTAGCTTGCTTAAGGCTCATCCAGTTGATATTAGTATTTACATTGACACCAGCAGACAACGTCCACTTCACGGGCGATGCCCAACTCACGACTGAGGTGGCCAAGCTCTCTACGCTACCAATCTTGGGCCTCCACCTTGGCCGTCGATACTACTTTCGGAAGGCGCCATCCCAACACCCAGCGAAGATGCATTAAGACTGTACAGTTCAACTGAGAACCCCTGGAACGACAACACAGTATCATTTTCGCCGTGACGTTGCATCACACTTCAACTCGGAACTCGAGGAGGTTGTATACTTCCACGTTTTCACTCCGCCGCGACAGGAGGTCCGGTGTTCGCGCGGGCGGCGATCTCTCTTCCTTCGTGACTGGCTCACGGGCGTTCCACAGGGTTGATACAGGTTACAATCTTGTCAACGGACTTGGCGCTGTGTCGTTATTCCCTTCATCTGGAAGTCGGCCTCTGGATGGTACACGAGGTCAGCAAACTGTACAGGCCTTGTCAATCAGCTGAGCTGACATCCTCTACGGTCCGTGGGCGAGACCCTTGCAGCTTCTCTTGATCCTAAACTCACGGAGGGCTTTCAACACCTACTCACGAATGCCGCAGTACTTGCGGTCTACGATGCATGCTTCGAATGAGCGGGACGCCCAATTTTCGTCGCGTGGAGTGTCACAAGTATGATCGCGGGCGATAACGCGGAGGTGAGGTGCGTTTCAACCAACTAATCGAGCTGTGTCCTGGATCTGACATACCTGTAGGATTGCGGATCGCTCTCTCTTCTTGTTCTGCGCTGTGCGAACATCTCGACCTGTGTGTACTGAGCCATCGTCTGAGCTACGGCCGTCAACAAAATACGCTCGATAAACGCTGCCGTGAACTTGTCAGGTACCGTCTCACTTACGTCCTTGGGTCTTCAGTGGCCGCACGGTGACTCATAGTATTTTCAGGCATATTCTTCCTAAGAGATACCTCATCAGTGGCGCGAGTACAGGTGGCAGAAGAGTACAAGGCGTCTCTGGAAGGGATAAGGAGTTGCTTGGTGTATCCCTCACTTCTGCTGCTTGGGTTCTTCAGCTTGTCCGGGCGTTGAATATATTGATAGCGTGGGTGCCTCATTGTGCACGTAGGAGTTGGCTCAGACGCGTTTGACCACTCAGGTCGCACTGCGAGCTACATGCCCCTTCAGCCCATGTTCGAATCGGACCATGCGCCGGCAGACCCATTCTTGAATATGGGCTACATCAACAACGGTAAACGGTCGCTTCCCACAGACGACTCCCAGCCCCCGATACTTCCGTCGTCGTCACGGTCAAGGCCCCAACCTCAACTGATCGAGAGACTCTGGCTGCGCTCCGAGCGTAGCTCAACGTTGAACTGGAAAACGGCTTCGTGGAGCTGCGCCTTCTGCTGCTACGAAACTCTGGCGATGCTCGCTGTCAGCCGGAATAAGCCTACCGTGCAGGGGATTGGCAGCTCGTTACGCATACCCGTCAACGGGGTGAAGTTGCGGTCTCGCTGGAGGTCAATCGGCCTTCTCCGGGCATCTTGGGATATGTCTTGGCCCGCAATCGCGCGCTCTGAAGTGGAGTCTTCGCTCTTATCGTCATGCGCGACCGTAACTTTACTTTCCCATCGAAGCTATCGAAGTGTGAAAGTTGCGCTGGTCTCTGAGGCTTATTTCCACCTGATTAACATCCTTTTCCTTCACATTGCATTAATAAACACATTTGAGGAATGATTCACAGCGCCAAACCCACGCACAGTATCCGCGGACGGGTGTAGAAGGAGCATCTGCACAAGACGAAGCCGGGTCGGATTCGGGACAGTTGGATTTGAACTTGTTTTGGACGAGGATCAACGAGACTGCCAGCTGCATTGTATTATGTAATAGCGCGCGAATTCGTCGCTGTGGCTCGGGCAAGGGCTTCGAACTTACGTTCAACGCACCGCCTCATGCCGTCTACCACTGCCACTATAATAGGTTTTCCCGGGGCCCGGGGTCAGAGCGCTGGGGATTGTATCTCGCGATTACAGCCTATGTTGACCCGTGCGCCCATCTTTGCATGGACCACAACCCGTCCCGGAGAGCCAGCATTGGCCCAGGGTATTTGGACGACACCAGCGTCTCGTCTTCCCAACCCGACCCTCCCCACCGGTTCACCGAAGCTTCTTATCCCACCGTCGACTTGACGGGTTTCAACAACGTGATCCTCAGCTCCGTAGCTAGGCCATTGACGCCTCCAGACCCAGATTATCCCCCTCCTATAACTAAGACCGGTGAAGATGCACACAGATTGCGTGAAATATCGCTGCAAAGCACAAGCGAAACCTCTCTTTCGACCACCTCAGCACATTACACCGTCAAATCAGTGAACTCGAGAAAGTCGCGACTCGTCACGTTTCCGCTTCGTCGAGACAGAAGAAGTGCACTGCACGAGTTGGCCGACCCTCATCCTTGTACCTTGGCTGATGATGGTTCCGATGCTGGTTCTGACTGCAAGACAAGCAGCGATTCAGCTGGAAGTCAATCGTTCTGCATTCCTTTGGACGTCGGTCTTGAGATGGTCTATGAGGTGAGTAAGCCTCACGAATTCCATCGCTCATAGGCTGATGTCCCCTTGAGCGCGTGGGTGACGCCATCGCTGTTTCTCTTTATCCCAGGCATCCGGATGTTTTCAGCAACATATTTGGGGCTGCATTCGAACCTACGATCTACGATCCGCGTCTCGAACCCGCGGGACATGCGCTCTTTGCCGCTTGGAGTGTCATAGACATGCTAAGCATCTCGGGCGGTGACGTTGAGGTAGAGATGTCTTTAACTATTGTCGAGTCTCCATTTCAACACACCTACAGGACTGCCTATCGCTCTTCCCGCTCGTTCTTCGGTGCGCAAATATTCTCAGTTGCGTGTACTGGGCAATGGTACAAGCGGAAGCCGTGAACGGTGAGACACTCGACACCTCCTGCGATCTACTCGCCAGGTACGTGCGTTGTTACGTTTGCACTTTTCGGTCTCTTATCACCTCTCAGGACCTTTAAGAGCGTCCTTCCCCAGAATTATCCCATCACTCGCAAGCGCAGTATTGACTTGAAGAAACTCGAGGACGTCTCCAAGGAGGACAACAGCTTACTCGAAGATCTAGTCACTTCTGCTTCTCGGACCCTCAGTCTTATCCAAGCTCTGGACATGTTCGTGGTACGTTTCTTGGGACACACGCATGTTGACGGGGGCTCACCCTACCGATCCAGATTGCCTTGCGGGCGGAACGTCTCCTAAACGTCACACCTGAGCGAGATTGTGAACTTCCGAACCCATTCCTAGACATGAACGGCGCTCCATACGGCAAAATGGCAACCGCCACTGAATCCATCCTTCCGACACCTCCACCTTCGTCGCACTCTTCTCCTCCAGTCAATCGAGAAACCCCGTCCGAGCTTCGAACACAGCTTCATGACGAATTGGATGATGATCTTGTGGCGCTGCGGTGCCTTGTACTGCGAAACTCTGGCTCTGCTCGTAGCCAAATCGAGTCCGCTCTACCAAAGCGTTTGATGTCGTACTACGCCTACTTGTTAATCGGATGAAGCAAGGATTGACATCAAGGGCTGTGGCAAGCGACGGCCTGTAGGTTCGCTGCGCTGGCTTCAGTCACCGCGTGAAGAGTGTCATCAGCTCCCTCCTCTTTCAGTCTGCGTAAGGTTGGAGCCGCCTGGCGAACGGAAAGTTCAATACGAGAACATACAAACCAGAAAAATGTTATAAAAATGACAACAGTGGGATTCGAACCCACGCCCTTTCGGACTGGATATGTCTCAGAACCGAAGGTCCTAATACCTGATTCCAGCGCCTTAGACCGCTCGGCCATGTTGCCTGCGTGGGAACCACGGATCAATCGATCACTGTAGCGATGTGCGTAGCCTACCCTGTACGCGCCTGTTCGCGCGCGCACGCGATCGCCTCTCCTTGCTCTTTCGGTTTCGGCCTACTGCATGACTGCCCACTCCCAGAAGCATGATGGAGTCGGTGCCTCGCGGCGCATCTAGGACATAATCACTCCCCTCCTTCGATGCGCATGAGCTACACAACCCAATTCCCATTTCCTATCATCGCCCCTCATTTCTGAGCTTGAGGCCATCGGGTATCTGGTGGCCATGGATGCCATCCAACGATCACAGGTACCCAGTGTCTCACACACATCGGAGGGAGACATAGAGGCCGTCAATTCCTTGGGTTATTCGGCACCATACACGGGAAAGCCGGAACCCATACTTGGACCATGCATACTACACCAGGCACTGAAGTACTGACAGCCAACGCCACTTAACCTGCTCGGACCCGAGACTATATACTGGTCGAGTGTCGTCGAGATAAACTCTTTCAGACCCCCATCTCTTCTTCCTCTACAACCACCTGCGATTACTCCCCTCTTCCCCGGCCATGGCGGACCAGCACATACCCGAACTGACATCCAGTGGCGTGCTCACGGTACGCTCTTCGGTCGTCATCAACGCACCCAAAGAGAAGGTCTGGGACGTCTTGCTCGACTTCCCGTCCTACGGTGAATGGTACGCATGCATGCATATTCTCGCATGCCACAAGCTGCAGCTATCACAGGAACCCTTATATGTGCGCCTTCTCTGGCTCGCTCACCTTCGGGAATTGAACGCTGCGCTGCTCGACAGCCGCACACAAGAAGTCATCGGCCCAGATGGCAAGATACCGCTTCTTCCGCAGGAGCCCGCCCCAGGCCGCCGCTTGCGTCTACACGTACACGTCCCACCAACCTCTGCGCGCCCGTCGACTGTAGAGGAGGTCCTCACGCACGTCGACGACGTGCACTTCCGGCTCGCGTGGCGCTGGGCGACGCCCGCGCGCTGGCTTCTGCACGCGGAGCGCTGGCAGATACTGCGTGACGCGCCCGGCGGCGGAGGCACAACGGTGTACGAGACGTGGGAGGTGATCGGTGGGATGCTCGCGTACGTCGCGCGTGTGTTCGGCCTGCGGGCGAAGCTGCAGGCGTCGTTCGATGGGATGTCAGACGGGCTCAAGGAGCGTGCAGAGCGCGCTGCGGAATAAGCAGATGTGCTGCGCGGAGGTTGTATTGTCGTAGAACATATAAGTAGCGGAGCAATAAAGTGCGAGGCGCTGCAGATCCTTTCAGCGCAGTCTATATTGACTGTATGAGCGCTCCGATGGAAGAAGCATCGTAACAGAGTCATGCGGCACTGTGAGGGCACTGTGCGGTACCGCCACGCCATTCCAGAAGCGCCTACCACGAGGTCACAGTGGTTACTATGACTTCAAGACGAGGTCCCGCGATATCATCCCAGCCCACCTACTAAAGGGTTATGGCATTGATATTGCTTTGGTTATAGGGCTGTGGCGGAAGCTCATACATGATATATTAGTATCGATCTCGGCGGCGTGCTCGTCGTCAATACTACTAGTCCCTCTCCCCCACCTATTTCCCTGCCCCACACCATGGACGCCATCTCGTCTTTCAAGGAGAACCTGCGCAAGGCAGTTCCTACGCACCTGCACGCGCAACGCACTACAACAACTCAGGCCGATGCTCCCAGTTCCAGCGTTACCCCGGCCATTGGCAGGAGCAACGACGACACGGACGCGGCGCCCGAGAGCGCCACGAAGAACCTGCTGCCGCGTGCGCTCGAGGCATCGCTCGAGTGGCTCAAGGAAAGCAGCGAGCTCGCGGTGGCCGTCCCGTGTCTGGGCCCTGTCGCGGGCATCCTGTTGGGAGTGCTCCGCATGACTGACGTGCGCAACCCTCCACCCCGTGCGATGTCTTTGCACGCGCTGACTTAGCTTCCACCGTATCCCAGGAGATACGGCAGTGCCGTGAGCAGTGGGCCATCGTGATGCGCAAGCTTGCGCGCGTCGCGAGTATCGTCGTCAACTTCGGTGAGCAGTGCCGGCGGAACGGGATGAAGGAAGAGAACCTGCCAGGGGCGCTGCTGGACATCTTTCGGTGGCTCCAGAGGTACGTCTTCGTCTGCATTGTCGTGTATCTAGGCGGGGCTGAGCGTGGTGCTAGCGAGTTGCAGCGGATTGAGCACGTGCTGAGGCAGTGTGTGCAAGTGTCGCGGATAAGGATGGTCTTCATACGTAAGGACGTGCTGGAGAGAATCAAGCAGTACGATGCGGAGATCACGGACGTGCTGAATGTCTTCCAGGTACTCCCTACGCGATCGAATCACCTGTATCCATCTTGAGTTGAACTGGCTCCACGCAGACCCAACTCGCGCTAGACAATCGGTTTGCTCAGATCACGGCGAAACAGCGCGAGGTGAGCCGTCTTCTCCGCGTCCTTACTCACAGAATACTGAAATTCGGACAGAAGCGGTAGGTTATCTAGAAACTCGTCTTGTTTGGGTTTGTGATACTGACGTTGAACGGGACAGAGCCTCACCGTCGCGGACAGAGCGCGTCGTCGATTTGGTCGTATCCAGGACGGCACCGCTACCCGTCCGCCTCGCGTACGACGTGGCCAAGACGGTTGCACGGGACCGCGCCTGAGCGGCGCGATCACGGGACATGGCGACTTCGAATTCGCCTTCGTTACGCTGACGCTTCGACGATGGTTGACTGGTGCCAGGGGCTGTGATACCAGAGCAGTGTATTCTTATTGCTACCATAGTACGCATCGGCGAGGCCTGTTCGTATCGCATGGCTACGCAGAAGGCAGGGTGCAGAGAAGACGGACACGTACCAAATACTACGACCCGATGCTTCCCGGGTGGAACAACCTCTAACGCGTGAAACCCCATCGCTTTGGCATGCAGGCAGTCTTCAGGGGCCACACGTCGTTGCAGTGACGCGGTGGGGATGGGTGGGACGGCAGAGCCATGGCTTTGTGAGCGTGGTTGTGTAAGAAGGCTTCCAGTGTTTATGTCTCCGTCTCGGGAAGGGATTATACGGAGGAAGAGGGGGAGGAGACAACGGCGCCGGATAAGGAGGCTTGTTCGGACGAAAACAATAGTGAAGTGGCCGCCGTGCAGAACAACAGTGTTGATGGGCGTGATCCCTTGTCGCGGGAGGAATGTAGTTGGTCTGCCCATGGGGTTGAGAAAGATCTTACGGGCAGCTTCGGGCGCAGTGCGGCGGGAGCCAGCAGCCGGGGCCAGTGAATGGGCCTGCCATGTGCCAGACGATGCTGCACAGCGACACGGTGTTTGTGTCACGAGCGAGCCCTTTCCTTGACGACCGAGAAGGCAGGCCTATTGTCGACGTTACATTGCCAGGCAGATGCTGCCAGTGCAAGCTGAGGCATGACAGGAAGTCGAGTGTATCGTTCACCCGAGGTTATTGTCCTGTACGTGAAGTGATCGCGAAGAAGTCGAGGGCGCGCAGCGGCGCCACGAATGTGGACAACTTTGCCAGCTGACTTTGCCTCATTGTCGCTCGGCGCGGTGGGCCATCTCCGGAGGCGCTTGTCCCAAGACAATGAGGATGCCCCTGGCACTGGCCGTGAATAATGCATTGAACACACTTTGTCCTTTCACCTCCATTCACCCAGGGCGGTCTTTTGTGCTCAGGCGACTCATAAACATGCTTGTGCTCTCCCGCAATGGCCAGTCTGCTAGCCAGTCTCTTACCTGCCTATTCCCTGCTAGGTCTGCTGTATCCATAGCTCTGCTCCACCGTTTCTCTGCCCCTCGCGACTACCCTTGATTGCCTCGATACAGCGTAATAATTGTTCAGTTCCCTCGTACCCTGCTCTGCCCCAAAGCTGTAAGTGGCGTTGCCAGTCGCTGTTGCTTCGTTGCTGACCGGTACCCCCAGACACGTACCCACTCACCCGTCTTAATTGTGATTGTGCGCGGTCGTCCCCGCTTCATCCTTTCCCCTTGGTCCGTCCTGCGTTGCTGCTCTGATCCCCAGTTGCTGATACGCACACAGTCTCCAACCATTACTCGTAGTCTCTTATAATAGTGCCCATACAGAATGTCTGCCCAGATCATCGTCACCTCTCCCCAACCCGCGTACGAGTTCCTCCTGTGTCCTCCGCCGCCAAAGCCTCGCCCCACCCAGCCGCTCCCGCCAACACCTACGACGAAGCCCTTTATCGCTTCGCGCCCCCGGTCGAGCACATTCTCCGCTATCTCCACCTGGGCCGCGCGCGTGCACCCCGGCTCGCCCGAGCCCACCACACCACCTCCCACCAGCTCGACCTCGCCCCTCTCGCGCTGCTCCTCGCTCTTCCGCCACCCGCTCAGCCCCTTCCGCACACCCCGCTCCGCGCGCGCACAGTCCACATCGTTCCTCCAGCTCGCCGACACTCCCAAATCCAGCGGGAAAGCCCGCACGCCGGAGCACGACTTTGACCTCGCTGCGCTCGGATACGCATACGCCGTCGTCCCGCTGCCGACCACGCCGCACACCGCCGCGCCGCGCCTGCAGTCCACGCCCCGCCGCAAAGGCAAGGAAAACAAAGACCCGCGCGGGATGAAGCTCGCCCAGCGCCGGACGCCGCCCGTGCCCGTGCCCACGCCCAGCAAGAAGAAAACCGGCCTCGCGCGCCTTCTCCGTATCCGCACGCCCCAGCACGCCGCGGCGCACGACCCCGCACCGCCCGCGTCGCCCAATACGACGGCGCTCCGCGTCGCGCACTACAAGCGCGCATACTACACGCGCCACGGCGCGCTCCCGCTCCCCGCCGAGTCCGAGCTCGCGCTCCTGCAGTTCGCCGACGGCGGCGCGCGCCGCGCGGCCCTCGCGCGCCTCGCCGTCGACGGCGCGGGCGGGTTCGTCGACGCGGCGGGCGTGGTGTACGCCGACGCGGCGGACGCGCGCGAGTGCGTGCCGCTGCTGCTCGCGGAGCGCGAGCCGGAGGGCGCGCCGCGGAGCCCGGGC